CTTCCGTAGTGATACTGCCTCGGAAACCCAAGGAGGGGTCGCTATGAGTCAGGGCTGACTCGACGGCACATAACAACAACAACAACAATTTCAAGATTGTATTATTTAAGGATTGTATGTTTGGAATGGCTAGAAAGTGGACAAATGAATAAATCACACCTGGTGACCAGTAGGTTTATACAAATTACAAAATCCACAGAAAGAAGAAAAAAGAGCTGTTCATTCTGCTTCATCGTTGAGTAGACCTAATTTCCTGGTTTGGTTGTGGATCACCTAATTCTTTTCTGAGTATGCTGTATATCTTGAAGTAATAGATCCAGAAGTTAGAAAACAGTAATGCTTATATCTATCCCCATGGACAGTGGTTAAAAGAAACATGTGTAAAATGAAGTCAGTGATAGGGTAGATGGAACATTTTATAAAAATGCCTTTAATGTGCTAATGATGCATTTTACACAGTAAACTTTGTTGAAATGAGAAAGGATATCTCTAAGCTTGAAGCAAATTGTTAGGATAAAGAATATTAGCTAAATTCTAATCATTTGTTCTTTCAAGTCATGTAATGGTAGATTTATATTTGACCTCAGGATGGAGTGCATGCATAATATTTTTTCACTAAAAGTCATTATTATGCAATACAATAACACTTTTTTTTTTTTTTCTCCACCCACCCACCTCACTTCCAAGATAACCGGTGGGAGGTAAGAGAGGAAAAGTATAAGTACTACTATTGAACTGAAGTATGAAATAATCATGGAGCATCATCTTTGTTGCAAAACCTAGTAGATTCTTCTTTTGAAACGTGGATGTATTTAAAGAAGCAAAAAAAAAAAAAAAATCATTTTTTATCTTATAATGTCCCATTTATGGTTTTTTGTTTTGTTTTGTTTTTTGCAGTTGTCATAGATCTAAAACCCACAATGCTTTACTTACCCTAATTACTTTTTCTTGTTTTTAAAAAAATTTTTTACTGTACTTTGTGTGCAAATTTACTTAGTGAACTTGTTTAACATTCAACAGTTCATGAACTCTTCTCCCCTCTATCCACAGTGACCACCCCCTCCCTGTGCCCTTCTCATCCACTCATTCTGTCTGTCCAGCTTTCCCTCTACGTGAGTCTACCTCTCTGGTATCTCATGGCTGATTGATGCAAGAGGTGCATCTCCCTAGAGTAAGTGGGTGCATCTCCCTGGCGTAGGTGTTCTGAATATAAGTCTTTCTGCTGTTGGGCTGAGAGCCAATCCATGTGAGTGAATTTATTTCTAGGCCCCAGGAGTAACCCAGGACCATAGTCTCAGGGATTCCACCAGTGTCTCTCTAATCAGCAATTCTGGTCATTTTTGTGTTTCTGAATTTTGTTCCACATTTTTCCTCCCACTCTAGCCAGAATCTCCAGATTCAATCCCTTTTCCGGGGTTGGCATTGGTAGCCAGGCTCCTTCTAGTTCTTTTGGTCTCAGGTTGTAGAGGCTGAGGTCCTCATTGTCCTTCTTATCATTGGACTAATTATTTCCAGATGACTTTGATTTTCTTCATTCTTCTTCGCTCCAGACAAGAGGAGATCATTGCATGTTAGATGGCTGCTCAGATAACACTTATTCTTAACAGACATTTAGCCAAAAGATAGAAAATAAAAGAAAAAAATTGCTACAAACCTTGCCTTTATGAGATAATTATTGAGAGTAATTTTAGCTTATTTTTTCTAGTCAAAAGTTTATATTTTCACTTTAAAGTATTATGAAATATTTAATGCACACAAAGTAAGTTATGAATGTATATATGTGTTTGTGGATGATATAAATAAAAGGAATTTACATACCCTGTGCCTACCATCCAGATAAGAAATAGAACAATATCCAACTTCAGGAACCCCTGCCTAACATTCTGTAACATTGATTATGCACCCATTTGTCCATCTGCAGAATTTTGTTTTTATAATTTTCCTACTGTTCTATATAATTTTTGTCATTTATGTTGGTGGTGGTGTTGTTATGTGCCGCTGAGTTGAGCCTGGCTCATAACGACCCCTCCTTGGGTTTCTGAGGCAGTATCACTACAGAAGTAGATTGCATCCTTCCTGCTGAGGAGTGACTGGTGGGTTTGAACCACTAGCCTTCTGGTTAGCAGTCAAGTGCCTTAGGCGCTACACTACCAGAGCTCCTTAAATGATAATGTTGCATGGTTTTGAAATTTATAAAATAGTCTTTCTGTATGATTCTTCTGACTTTTTTTTTTTTAATCTTAGTCTTTTGTTTGTGAAATATGTTAATGTTCACACATGTATCAGTAGTTCTACTGTTTTTTCTGCCTGGTGTATCATTGTCTGAATATTTAAACACTTTATGTGTTCTTCTTTGATACAATAATGGCTGTTGGGGTGGTTTTTAGATTTTGGTTCCCCTAAAGATGCTGTGGATGATTTCATGCTTGCCTCTTAGAAGATGTGCAATAATTTCTCTAGGGCCATGATTGCCACACTGGAGTATGTTGTTGTTATCGTTGTTATGTGCCATGGACTCAGACGTGACTCATAGTAATTCCTCCTTGGGTTTCTAAGGCAGTATCACTACAGAAGTAGATTGGCCACCCTTCCTTCTGAGGAGTGGCTGGTGGGTTTGAACCACCAGCCTTCTGGTTAGTACCTTAGACACTATGCTACAGAACTCCCACACTGGAGTATGACTCACCAAGGGGTTGTAGCTGGCTTTATGGCCTCAAGTGGTACAAATGGTTAACATGCTCAGCTACTAATCAAAAGGTTGGAGGCTTGAGTCCACTCAGATGCCTTGAAAGGAAGCCCTGGTGGTCTGCTTCTGAAAAATCAGCCATTGACACTGTGTGGAACACTGTTGTAATATGCACACATGGATTCACCATGAGTTGAAGTTACTGTTAGTTGCCGTCTAGTTGATGACCTTATGTATTACAGGGTAGAACTGTTCCATAAAGTTTTCTTGACTGTATTTAAAAAATAAACACAGCGTAAATTTTATTTAACTCATTAATGAGGAAACTAGCAAAATATTGCAACTGGTTTAAAAAAGAACTCAAACACACTTTTACAGTCAGTTGAGGAATGCTGAAATGAATTTAAAAATGAATATAAAATGGGAGAAACTGGTCAATATTCACAGGATAAGCCATAAATAATTATATTTCATCAGACATAGGACCTATACAACCCCCCAGAGGTTCCAGAATTCTATCAATATCATACCCAGTATTTTCTTTTGCCCATTTCAAAATCTTCCATAGTTATTTCCTATACCTGACAACTACAGGGGAGCTCTGGTAGCATAGTGGCTAAGGCACTTGACTGCTAACCAGAAAGCTGGCAGTTCAAACCCACCAGCCACTTCTCAGAAGGAAGATGGGGCAATCTACTTCCATAGTGATACTGCCTCGGAAACCCAAGGAGGGGTC